TCGTTCTTGATTTCGATGGTGCCGCCAGCCTTGGGAACGACAGCGACTTTCTGGGTAGTAGGGATCTGGAACTTGGACATGGTGGATGATGAGCAAAGTAGCTTTGGGAGCGAGCCTTTTCAACGATATTTTGGCTCCATTGCGGAACAGCGCGTCTGAGACACGGAATGGCACTCGCGCGCTGCCCCGTGGGGAGCGACAGGGGAAGGGCATGTGACGGATCGAGGAAAATCGGGGTGGCGCGGTAAATATACGCGCGCTTCAACTTGGGTTGCCTGGACACGTCTGCCGTCTCCTCTACCGTGTGCTAGCAAGCTATGTTCCGGTCTACATCGTTCATGCACGGTAGCGTCTCTTTCACCAGCAACGTGTGACTGGACACACGCGTGGTGCAGAACTTGGCGACTGAAACAATCGTTGGGATGCATGCTTCTTCTTCACTGGCGCCAGAGGGGGGTCATGGTGTTCATCCTGGTCAGATGGGGTGCGGTGGAAGGAGATTAAACGGGACCCCTAAAAGGACTCCTTCAGTAATTGATGATTCGTTTCTGCATTTCCACCTACTGATTGGTTGTCCTTGAAGAGCGGTGACAGCGACAATGTCTCGCACTCGCTTGATTTGACCCTTTGCTAGTAGGCCTCCAGCTGAACGTCAAAATGCGCCCAAATGAACCTAAGCATCCGGAACATGGATATGTGACTCGTGAGGTAATGCAAAGCAATTTGACATCGGCGAGATCCGTTGAGATGGAAGGCGACGACTCAAGTACCCTGCAGTCTTCAATTGCGGGGCGGGACCCAGTCCAGCGAATGCGGGGCTCCATACGACAATTAGAAATTCGCGGATCAGCTGCTTCGCATCGCCAAACAGGTGCGTTCGCCAAGTTCGCCATTCGGCAACCAGGACCAATGACGTCCGATCTCCTCCTCCTTGGTCTTTTGAGCTATCACTTGTCCTCGCGTCTGAACGGCACTTGTCAGTCGCAACTGGGGAAGCGAAGTGCAAGGAGTACCTGACATGTACCCCGCCGAACACTAATGGAGCATTGAACAGATTCCGCCGCCCGCGATATCTGATCTTCGATTGGGCCTAGCGTTGGCTTCAGGACGCCGCCATAAGAGACCAGGGTCAAATTAAAGTCGACTGTCCTGGCAACATGAACGCTCATGAACGGTGTGGATCCAGGAATCCTTATCTATCATGATTATCAGATCAATGGTTCGATGAGAAGGAAATAACGTAGGTACTCACCAATTCTATCACCGCAGTACGTTCTCTCAGAGAGCGTTTACAGAACATGAGAGCTGCATGATCAGTCGTATACAGCCCACTGGCGAAGACATTCAGGCCCGACCTTGGCCGGCAGTCATGCTAGCCAGAGTCAACATTTCAGCCAATCAAAGCGCCTTGATGACAGAACACACGAATCGCCTTCGCGCCCGAGAGAGCTAAGTGCGTCTGTCATGAGAAGTCAATCAACATTCGGTTGCTGAGGGGAAGAAATGCCAGACCATGATATGACAATGGCGCAATTAGCACATATTGATTGGTTGACATAGGGCCACGGAGCCGCGCAACCAACGCGACGAGAAACGAGTCTGTACCCCATCGAGTACGCATTTTTCAAACATCTTGTCCGTCGCGCGCCAGGTATACACAAAAGAAAGATGTCCGAGCTTGCATTCAACCAGAAGTACACGCGAGTCCAGTACTGAATAGCAGCCGTCGATAGCAGGTGGAGTCCGGGAGCGTTCCGCCAACGTTATAATGCAGAAAGCCATTAAGCGACTCGCGGCAGAGCCTCATGACTGCTTGGGTAGGGTCCGCACCGGCATACGGAACGAACTGCCTATGATTCAATGGAATAGTTGCTGGTTGCCTAACAAAGGAAAGTAGCGGCGCTAGAAATGTGACCATGACTGGCTAGCGCTAGCGCCGCCTAATACCTTGTCAGAAGTAAGGTTTCGCTGAAGATTGGCATGTCGTGAGCACGAGACGTAAGGCAAAGAAAACGTGCCTCGAACAATCTGCGCACTACAGCTGTCACTGTTTTGTCAATGTCTATCAGTCAAAGTAGAGAAGAAAGAAGGCCACGTGCTCTAGACATCGACGCGTTGTGGTTTGTTTGTCAACACTCGTTTGGGCCAGACGTGTCTGCATTCTGATTACCTCCTTCTTGCTCCCGAGGTAGCATGTGGAGAGCATGCGTGCGTACGTAGAAGGTACTGTCCTCGCGGTGGCCTCGAAGGGCTCAAGTCAACTAACAGCTTCGTGTCAAGTTCACAGCACTACCTGACTGCAAGGTCCGAAGTTTTAAGGTATAATTAAAAAGTGACGACTGTATCTAGTACGTATAAATATGATTTAACGAAAGGCCCGAGAGGCTGGCGTCAGGGACTGAAAGGGATCTGATTACGGCTTGCTTTGAAGCATCGAGGGAGGCCAGAATCGCGCATGCGCTCAACCAGAGGACTGGTTCTGCTGCTGCTGTTGACGCCGATTACAGTGAGAACAGTAGGCATTAATGTGGGGATCTAGACGTTTGTTAGGCACGCGGCCGGTGGCGAAGGCATTGTCGGCTCACTGTATTGTTCAGGGAATTTTTTGCTGAAAATGAAAAGGGTGAATAAATTGACTGCGAGAAAGTTATGCGCGAGGCTCACTATTGCTGGCAGGTCCTCAGACACCTCGGAGGGGTACAGTTGATCGGGTGGAAAGGGCTCCAGCGACACCTCGAATCTTCGCAATAAATCTAAATCATGGTTAGTACAGGGGAAGGCGCAATGGACGCGACACGCACAAACTCATCGGCCTGTTGGCACGTATGTGAGTGCTTGGCAATTTTGACGAGGGCTGGAAACGTACCAGATTCTCCCAGTGTCCACATCTGGTGTAGAGCCTGCGAACTCTGGCAATGGGGTCATTTCAAGAGGAACGAGGACGATAATTGGCTTGAACGTACTGGCGAAGACAGCACATTATCAGTAGCAAAGAGAAAAGCTGACAGTGGTGTGAGTAGAGAGGCAACGAGTGTGAATGCAGTTGTCTGCCACGGACGCGATGGTTTTATACATGTGTGGATAGTTGTGTGGCGTGGCGCCTGATCGAAGAGAAACGGAACACAATTTACGCTCCCGTGTTTTCTATTCCATAGCCCAACGTGTAAATTTGTTGCGATGCAGCAAAGTACGACTCGTGTCTCATGCCCTGGTCCTTCCTCGTATTAATAATGCTGTAGCTGGATGAGACATCGGAGCCTTTCTGGAGTGAGATGAGGAAGTAGATAGCCTCGTTGTATGTGTCGTGACCCACCGTGATTCCAGAGGTTTGATATGTACAGTATAACGTTCGACATTCAGTTATCATCAGGATTGCACGGCCCAAGTCCAGGTCCGCAGCGCTTCGTAACGACACGCAGGGGAGCGGAGGACACACAAAGACATAAGTAGTTAGAATTCTTTCCAGTAGCGAGAAATCTAGGGTGCATGTCAAAGGAGTTGGCAATGTTGTGGCGAAGGTAGTTCGAGGAGAAGCCGACGGCTTCAGCTCACGTAAGACGGGACTCGATCGACGGATACTCGGTGCTTGATCGCCATCTACTCTTTGTTAGTTCATGCCACAGGCTCAAGACCGTCAGCTCAAAACGGGAAGGTTTCTGTCTCCCTTGTCCGAGTCTCTAGACAATATAACAACGTAAGTGAAGGAAGCAAGCAATTTTTTTTGAAACTTTCTATTGATGGTCTACGCTTTTTCAGTAGCTAACCAGTGTTTGCGATGCAGCCTCTCGGTGATCAAGCTGATCAACTCTCTTCAGCGCGGTTAAGTACATAGTAACTCTGATCCGTCATGTCCAGGGCTCTCTCATCAGTTCAACAGAAGTCGAACGTATGTTCATCACATCTCGTAAGTAAGTGATGAGATTTGCTGCGAATTTCGCCTCGGAAGGATACCCACGATCCACACCTCCTCCACGGGAAGAGGCTGGCGCCGTGATGTACCGATTACGGAAACGACTCTTTGCATCCGAGCGCTGACCTGAAGTGACTCACGAACAATTTATCGCACAGAATCGGACTTCCACCTGGAGCTCCAACCCACGAGAATACTCCAAAGAAGTAGCTGCGGCAACATCCGTCCTTGCACGGGCGACGCAAAGCGCTAAGTCCACCCTGTTCTGAGAACCGTTGAAATTCAAGAAACGCGTTTCACTCCTAGTAATCTGATGTTGGTCGGTTCATTTTTTGTGAATTTATCACTCATTAAGGCGTCCTTTATCATATGCATATGTGAGGTGCGCACGGAGGTGGGCAACGTCGCTGACCAGAAATTTGATAGTATTCAATACTCGTTACGAATAATTGTCCGAAAGGCAGGACTGCCATGAAGTCAAGACCTCGAGCGCCGAGGACATAAGTTCTGGCAGTGTGACTACCTGGAGTGCGCCGACATTGGGAGTACCGAGTGCACCGATGCACTTGATCTTCCAACAGTGCGCTGCCACACTGAGCATCATGGTCACATACCTCAAGACCGAATGAGAAGACCGACTCAGTCACCGCTACCGACATGTTTCGACTCCGAGTCATTTCCTGTGCGACCATCGCTTCATCTGCTGAATACAATCATTCATTCAACTCATTTATGTGATGCTTACAGCGCCACGTCCGCGACGTGTTGATGCTGTCTTGAAGTTCACTTGTTACAAAGATATGGTGATGCTTATTTGACGACCAAGTCTAGTTCTTAAATTCCATGGACAAGTTACTATTATCATTCTGCGCTTCATCTGCTGGATATAATCATTCGTTAAACTCATTTATGTGATGCTTACAGCGCCATGTCTGCGGCGTGTTGATGCTGTCTTGAAGTTCACTTGTTCCAAAGGTATGGTAGTAGTGCTTATATGGCGACCGAGTCTAGTTCTTACATTCCATGAACAACAGTGGCGCCTGCTTTTCCACAGCGTATCGAGGATTTACAATTGGCACTCAGGAACGTCGCCCGCCTAGCTCAATCGGATAGAGCGTCAGACTCTTAGCGTTTGAGTGCGTGGCATCTGAAGGCTGCGAGTTCGACCCTCGCGGTGGGCTATCTGTTTTGCGCCACATTCCTCTTTCCAAAGAATCGACAGCCTGCTTCACCTTCAAAGACAACTTTTCAAGTTTCAACCTTCAGTCAGGACTCAGTTTGAAAATTTGACGGTTGGCCTCGAGTCTCGACAGACTGAACCTTTAGTCTCGAACCAGCCGCTTGACACCGGTTTTTGAGGGCATGAGGACATGGTGAAGCGACTGGCATCGAGCCTACTGACCCTTCTTCGAGTAACAATGTGTAGTACAAGCAGGGCTTCTACAAACGCGACAGGTAATTTCTCTGTCCTGAATGAACTCGTACCCGCTCAGCTACACTAGGTGGCAGAAAGCCAATCTTTGTCCAGTAGCTCATCCACGATGCAACATCGACCATTGATATTGCCTCTGCCTGCCGAAGACTCCGGGACAGACGCAACGACACATCGTTGCCCAGGATAAGAGAAGGCGACGCAGTGCCGCGCCCTTCAGCTTCGAAAAACGGGATGAGCTTGAGTGCTGGAATGTCTTTGTAATCGATGCCTGACGTCGAAGCCAGTAACTTGAGTTTCCCAATCCATTCAGAGAATGGTACAACGGGGAGGTCAATGATCGTTCCCATCCAATGCATTATGTTGACAGTCGGCTGAATTTTAGGGTGCGCCAAGTGGGCAGTGTCTACGTTTTCGGTGGCGTTTAGAAAATCGATCATCGCGCTGGCTGCGACATCGAGGGGAACCCATGAAGAACGCTGAAATTTCTGTCAACCAAGGTGCAAGCGCCATGGCAGAAGCAACTTACACCGGGATATGCAGGCAAGCAACGCATCTTCGAGTGTAGACTGGACTTCACGATAGCCGGTACAAAGTCGGTTGGACTCCAGGCACCGTTGAGCGACCCCGATACCAATCCTACTCGGACGATGAGTGGCCTAAAGGTCGGAAAGTCCTTCCCGGCCCTGTAGAGCATCTGCTCCGCGACCCGCTTGCTCTCGATATAACCTCTCCCAATAGCAACGGAGCCATCATGAAGAGGGACTTCAAGTACAGGTGAATTGGGATCCTTGGCATCTACAGATAACAATAACGTCAGTTCAAGGAAGTGGGCAGTAAGCATCGCAAAATTGCTTGACTCTGCGGCTGTACGTAGGGTTTACGCCGTTAATAGGCCGTCAAAGGACGGCGTTTCATTGGAGAAAAGACAGAGAGCCGCGTTCAAAGAAAGAGGATATGATCCAACGCTTCTAGATTCGCCCAAGATCGTTATGGTTGACACGACTATCACAGAACGAGGCTTGGGGGTGGATAATGCGCTTGAGGAAGACGTGAGCAGGTGTTTATCACTTTCATGGACTGTTCTTCTTGATGATCACTAGATGCGAGGTAGTATCACGCACATCATCCACAACACGTGGCGGGTACACTTTAACCTCCCACTATCCACATACAAACCGATACTTCAAGGCATGCGAGTGCTGATTGACTTTGCCATGGGTGCCCCAAACATGAACCGCTTCATTTTCGTAAGCTCTATCGCGATTTTCAATAGTCACCAACACGATGTGGCCATCGGGAGAGGCGGGCGAGAGAGAAGGCTGCCCTGGCGGAATGCGAGATCCAACTGGGGCGAAAAGATCAAGCATAGCGTGCATTTGGCGAAGAGTTTCTTCTGGGTTGGACATCGTCGTACCAATGAGTTTGGAGAGACTTTGGAACGTGCTGGGTTATAAGGCGTCGCAGGCGATTAGTACTGGGTCCGAAACGTCATAGGCGCGATTTAAACTGCTAAATTGACGGATCATCGACTGTCAGTGCCAGTCAGATGAGATGCTTGGATAACCGCACTCATGAGTTCGGTTTCAGGACGGCGTGGCTGCTCACGACGGTAAGGACCTGAGCGCCAATCCCAGCTGCGTCAATCAGGTACGGTCAAGGGATGCCGTTACAACCATGTTGTCGACAGAGAAAAAGTGCGACGATAGACTTGAGAAGTTGCAGCGCGACATTCACGACTTGGCGGTAAAACCAGAACATGCTCGCCGCAGTAGAGTAACCAATGGCTTGAGAGGCAACAAATTTCATGGTGAGATAACGGTCTAATAGTGGAGGACACTTGGGCCACGAATGTTGTGGGAGGAAGCTGATGAGCTATGAAAGTTCCAACAACAGCAGATCCTCACGTGAGTCAGGGACGAATCACGATCGGCCGGCCGATGGAAGTAGTCATGACATTGACAAAGTACCGCCAACTGCGGCGTTGGGAACGCGTCTCGTCGATGATTCAAGTCGCCATCATGGGTGAAAACTGCTCAGATGTCTTCCCGGAGACCCTTGTAAGTTGTCCGCTTGAGCAAGGGGCGCTTAGGTTTTTTGTTTTCTGTACATATGGTCCGACAGCCAGACCGGAGAATAAGCAACAAGAGGACCCTGGATTCGCGATTTACATCCCTCCTCATCCTATGTCGGAAAACATACAACTCACTGTCAGAGCATCCTCCGGACCTGTAGCAGAGGGATCCGTTGAAGCCGAGGTTCACCTCAACGAATCAAACCTCGCACCTGTTGACAAGGGATTCGGCGCGTGGTCTTTCGTGAGTCATAAATTCCTTCTGCTTGTCGTCCATTAAGTCTGATCAAAGTTCACACCGCTGGCAGCTCATCGCTGCGTTCTTCATTGAGGCCATCGTATGGGGCTTCCCAGACGCCTACGGGATCATTCTCGATGGTGAGTCCGTGCTCATTCACCGTGTTCATCTAGTAACCTCTTTCTCCACATAGGATACTTCAACGATCCGCGATACAGCGCCCAGGCACATGCAAGCACCGTTCTTCCTCTCATCGGGCCTGTAGCCTCTGGCGTCATGATGTGCTCAGGTTCGCGTTCAAAGAAGATGTCCTTCATAGGTTTCTGATGCACCCCGGAAATTCTAGGGCCTTTAATATATCCTCTGACTGCGCGATACCCACAGCATCGGCGGACAGCAATGTGGTTTGGGCTCGTCCTATGCTGGGCGAGCCTTTTCACTGCAAGTTACATCTCCAAGGTAATTGCTAGTAGTTGTAGAATGAGTGGTTTGCGCACGGCATATTGACGGTAGATTTCCACTCTGGTCGCCCTTCAAGGTGTCCTTTACGCTATCGGTGGATCGCTCTTATATGCACCATGCATTTCATACCTTGCCGAATGGTTTGTAATCAGACGCGGACTCGCGAATAGTATCATCTTCGCTGGCAAGTCCGCATTGGAAAGAAGATAGTGTAATCCTGATTCGCGTTAAAGGAACTGCTATGGGAGGAATCGTACTCCCACTCGCTATACCACGCCTGATATCTGCCTTCGGTGTTGCGAAAGCTCTTTGCTTCATCTCAATAGGAATTGCGGTAGTTCTCATCCCTTTACTGCCCTTCGTCAAGCCCCGTATTCCGCTGTCGAGGACGTCTCATGCTACGCCTCCGAGAAACCGAGACTGGATGACGGACAAGCCATTCTGGGTCGTCCTTGTCATCAATACTCTGATAGGATTTGCGTACTATCTGCCTCTCATCTGGCTCCCCAGTGAGTATCAGCGCTCATATTGAGGTTTTGACATTATCGCTCATGTACATCTTTCAGTGTTCGCCAGCGACCTCAACATTAGCGCCTCACAATCATCTTTGGCTATTGCGCTTTTGAATGGTGAGACTCATTACTCGTGACTACCAGCTCATGTCTGACCACGAAGAAAGGCTCATCCTTAATCGGTCGTATATCACTCGGCTACCTCTCCGACAAGTTGAACCCATGGTCCTTAGCTCTCTGTATACTCTTTCCCTCCTCATTGGTCACCTTCATCATCTGGGGATTACTCTCAAAAAGCCTCGCCGGCCTCATCTGCTTTGGCATCGCATACGGCAGCCTCGCAGGAAGCTGGACGAGCTTATGGTCTGGGTTCTGGAGATTGGTTGCATATTAGAACCCGTCGGCCACCGACGGTCAGGCACACGGCCCCACGTGATCACTTACGTATGCACGCTCGTCGGCCATTCCTTGCATGCTTCTCGGCCATATCATGCATGCCCAGCTCACCAAACCATGCATTGCGCTGGTCCTCACCATGCATGGAATCACCTAGGATCATGCATTGAATCCCCTCACACCATGCATTGAATCAGCCCTCACCATGCAAGGAATCAGCCCTCACCACGCAAGGAATCGGTCCTCACCACGCATCGAATCAGCCCTCACCATGCATGGAATCGGCTCTCACCACGCATTGAATCCCCTCACATCACGCAAGGCAGATCAGATCACCCCAAGTGATCGGCAGCACTTGAACTCGAACCACGTCGAGTCCGATGCTTCAGTTGCTTACACCAACGCGTCCCCTTGTCCCATGCTCCCTGGCGACTCTCGACAACTTGAATTTACTTGGAGACCGCTCTAGAGCTTATGTAATACGATATCCGATGCTTCTTGGGCGACTGGACGCGTTTTTACTGCTACTTTTCGCGTCAACTCCTTGCTGAGGCGTTTAGGACCCTGCACATCGATAGCACGAGGATTTCCGGGACCCTATGACGCGTCTGGGGCCTCGACAATCTTATCTGCATGCTCTCGGATGCGGGGTAGTGACGACACACCTGGCAGTGGTCGTCCTCCTCCAGCTCCTCCGTCCTACTGACACTTTTGGTCAACTCGCTTTTTTAGCTGGAGATGGCTCTATCCGACCACTCGGACGCTTGGATACATTCAATATACACACTCTATTGAACGTGTTACACTGTCTATGTACGCCGTCAAGCTGTCAATAACGTTGGATTTCAGCCAAGTTCAAGAAACTGGCAGAAGGTTCGTCCCTTTCCCCTTCTCGATGGGCTCCAATTTCGATCTGAGTCATTTGATGTATAGAAAAACGTAAACGGCGAATGATTTCCGTGCCCAGAACGGAGGAATTCGCAACACGAAGCGGTGCGAATATCCGCCACGAAAAACTAATCTGTAAGTGTTCGTCGTTTCTCCGGCCGAGAAGCATCAGACTTTCC